AGAGAGAGAGAGAGAGAGAGTTAATGGAAACAAAATATTGACAAAACATTAGATTTCATTTGTACCCAATTTCGAGTTGTTTTTCTCCGATACCAATGACTTTGTAATACAATGTATTTCTTAAGGAAATAATAAATATTTACAAAACTCCTTAAATATACCGAAGAAGATAAGGAAGAAATAATTGGATGTATAAAAGAGAGTTAAGTTAACTATACTGAAGTACACAGAGATTGTCAGTGAATTTACTATGCTCATTATTTACTATCGACCATGATAAAAAGAATTTGCCATTTATATGAATTAAATAAATAAAACTGAACAAGGCATAGTATATACAAATATACATACGTATATATGAATAAAAAAATTTTTTTTCGTACTTTAATAAAATATTATTTTTATGCATAATATTAAAGTGAAGTGTTTTTTGTTGGTGAATATATTTAATTAAAAAAAACATATAATACTCTTATTGTTTGTGCAGAATATTCTGTTTCATTAATAAAATATTTTGTTTTATTAAAGAATATTTTGTATACATTTTGCGCTAATATAGAGAATACAGAATATTCTGTTAGAGCTAATGGTCTGCGCTTTTATGTGAAAATTTTATTATAGCCCACAAAAGCGATTTCATATTTTGCCTGCAAAACGAAATTAAAATAAATGAGAGGGATATTAATTTTGATTTGCTTCTCAAATCAGATATTTTGTATTTTTGTGTGAAAATACAAATCGTTTGGAAATTTACATTTACAAAATGTACATTTTAAAATACCACAGTTATAAATTACCTACATAAATTGCATAAATACAAATTTGCCTTTAAACTATATAATATGGTAAAATTTAAATAAATTATATATTTGTTTTGGTAAACATATGTTTTTATGCAAACTCAATGATTAGTTCACATAAGCATGAGATGTATTTCGCATATTATTGTAAAGAATATTTAATTAATATTTAATTTAATTAACACATTATGGGATTGAATGCAATGTGCAGTTAAAGACATAATAAATGCATTTATCCTTTGATGTAATAAAGAAAATAAAAGTGTTATGTATAGACTGTACAGTTCACTGAAATCATAACTATATTTAGTGTTTTATCCAATTATTGGTTAAATAAATAAGAGAAAAATATTAGATTAGGTGTTTTTATAATAAAATAACAAAATTAAGTAAATCATTTATAACATGAAAATAGCATAATTTTGTTAGAGAGAGAGAGAGAGAGAGAGAGAGAGAGAGCACATTATATTTACAATTATGGTTGATTAAAAATCAACAATTTGGTTGTGTTTGCCAAATTAAATATAGAATAACAATGCAATATTAAATTATTGCAATAAAGTTACTGTTAAAATGTTTTATATTTTATCGATATTTTATGTGTTAATAGAACAGGAATAACTGACATGTTGCATTGTGCGATAATAAAACAATGCCAGGAATAACAACAATAATTTTTAATATATTTACAGAATATTCTTATGTTAAATAAACTATAGTATAAAATAGTTAACATTTTTATATATTAATTTATATGAAATTGTAATAAAACAAAAATGCAAATTGTTTTTATAAATATAAGTTTGCATTATTTTATGTAAGCTATAATATTTATGTACTTATTAATTATAAATCAATATTAACTACAATTTGCAAACACTTTAGGCACCAGTAATGCATGTATTATGAAAATAATGCAATAAAAAACATAATGTGTATATTGCGTTATAATATATACAATAATATAATTATTATTATATTATATTATATACCTGTACACAACATAGCATTGTACATGACATTGAAATTGTACGTGATAACACATTAACCTGAATTTATAAAACTATCATAACTAAGCGCATGATCATATTATTTCCTTTTATGCCATAACCTGTTATGGTATAACTCAATGCAATCGTATGTAAACTCTGTGCAAAATAAACTAAGAGTTAAAAAGTGATTTTCAAAGCGAAATGAACACGTTTTAGGATATTTTCTGTTTCATGTTATAAACACTACAAGTGATGGACTCTTAATTCAGTCTACGGTTGCCGTCAAACTCTTTCCGTGTCCTATATATGGCCTTCACTAACAACGCAAATGTTTATTATGGAAATACAAATACATATCCTATAATAAATGGTATGAATACTTAATTCTATACAATTATTTCATATTAAACTTATATTCATAATGTATATTTGCATTTTTATTAACAGATGCACAAGTGAAGACAACATTACTTATAAAATGGCAATAAAATTGACAATTACTGACCAAACTAATAAAGTTACTACCTAAAATAATAACATGTTCATTAGACAATTGCCATTGTCCTAATATACTAGCTGTAACTCTAGTAAGTCATCATGGAAGATGCGAAAAACATAACACATATACCTTGTTTAACAATTAAATCGGAATCAAATGTAAGTTTAGTGAAACAAGAGAATGAACAAGTTGCCACGATTAAACCTGGCGAGACATTAGACCATGCTGATTTACAAACAAAAAGGTCTCGTAAGGCGACAAAAGCTTGCGTAAAGAAGCCAGGCTGTTTTCGACCCGAATTAGTACCGATAAATCAAATGCGAAAATATCAACTCATGACTAAATACATGATTCCAAAGCACGCCATTCAGAGGTTTGTTAAACAGATAGTTCAAGAGTTGAAACCAAATGACTCATTCCGTATGCAAAGTGCGGCCGTCTTTATAACATTACGTGTTATATGCATTACCTTGATAATTTGCAAATAATTATTCACTCTAATCATTACACTTATTGTATTCATCATGTGCCCTGTTTATAATAGTTTAATAGTTTTCATTAACAACATGTTTAAATTATACCCGAATTATATTCAGGTACACTATATATGAGTAGCAGTTGAATAGAGTATAAATTACACAGCAATAAAGTGAACATATTTCGTACACATGAATTGCATACCCATATTTATATTTCAATTAAGTAGTAAAAGTGTTGTACGGTATACAACATTAAGTATATAGGTGCGGTACGCTATACATAACCTATACAAAACTAGGTGATGTATGGTATAAACTGGAAAGTTAACAAAGGCTATCTCATTATAGGAGAGTAAAGCTTACCAAGATATACAACTTTTAAAATCAATAAGAAATCACTTAATATCAGTATATAAATCAGTTTCTTTAAACAAAATAAATTATAATAGAGATATTTAATAATAATATGTAATAATAGCAGGATTATAATAATTAATTTTATTGTTTCACGTAGAAGTGTGATTATAATGTGAAAATAATGTAAGGATATAAGCATTAGTCGATGGTTATTATCTCCTCAGTAAAAATGATGTCCGTATCGTCGTCATCTTCCATCTGATCCATAAGTTCTTCGAACAAGTGTTGATCAAACTCCAAACTCTCGTCCAACAGATCCAACTCTTCCGTCATATTTTCCTCTGCCATCAATTCATTCATTTCCTGTAAAATACAATATTGAACAATATTATATTATACCATACTATAGATACCTGTTCGTTGCCTTCGTTGTCGATAGCATCCATCCCTTCTTATGCCGCAATCCACTCCTCCTCTTCAATGGCTTCAGCCACAAGTGTCTCAATCATTAAAATTGAAGCAAACAGTTGTTGTACCCGTTCAGCGTCTTCACCGATTGCCACATCTATGGCGGCTTCTCGGAACTGAGCTTCGGTGGCAAACTCTTGTTCATCTGGAATAAAATAGATGCGAAGCTATGAATACATGTTATAAAAATGATACAAACTTGGGAATGGTTTGATGAGGCACACATTTTGACAATTTATGCATTTGTTGTCTTTGTTTCCCTTAAAGTCCGAGGACAACAAATGGACCGAACACGGAAAGCAGAGATGCCGATGACTACAATGCGGGTATGGCGTGATGATTATCTGTTCAACCATTTCCTTTAACTCGAAACAGATTTTACAAATGTCGGCCATTTTTTACAAAAATAAATTAAAAAATACAAAACAAAACAATGCTTACTGCTCGCGGACTGAAAGCACACTGAGTTTTGGACGTTGAGTATAATACTTTAACATAAGCATAACATGCTTTAGTATGCCTTAGTGCTATAGTCATTGAATCACAGTCAACGAATCATGGGCATTGAGTCATAACCAATGAGAAACAGTATAGTGTCATAACCAATGGAAGTTCATGGATATAACGTTGTTTGGAGGAAGAACTTTACAACTAATAAATTCAAAATAATTGTTAATATCACAAAAATTTAATGTGATTTTTATGGGTGACCAAACATAAACGAACGGCGAGAGAAGACATAAGGTTATAGTAATTTGAAGTCGAGATATAAAAAAGATTTATTTCAGTTCAGATGTGCTGAATTTTTTATAAATTTAATTGAATTAAACTATTAACTGTTTAATCATTGGTTAACTTGGTTAGCATTATTAAACCTTTAAGATTTGTATGCGTGGCTGTCTTGGTAATACTGGTAACAATTAGTGAACTTGGTAAGCCTTAAATGAGGTGTACTCTTATTGAGTCTTGCACTTCCTAAAGCAGTACCCTTGGTAAGCCTTGGTAACAATTCTGACATTAGCCTTGGTTAATAATATTTAGGCTTGATAAGGCATTAATGCCATTTATGTTTCAATGGCAATTTGGGTTTATTAGCAACTGGGTTTAGTGTCACGTCTACTACTCATATAAATAAGTTAAAACGCATTATTTAACGTATAAATTATATTTCTATGCTACAATTTATTTAAATTTTATAACTAATTATAATTTATGTTTTATATTTATTTATGTTCAATATAAACAATTAATATAAATTATAATATTGTGTTTGTTAATTATATAAAATATAATGACAAAGCAATCTAAAAGTGTCATGGTAAGTGCTTGGATTTGTCGGATGAAGACTTGTTTTTTGCTGACCTGTTGCTTTAATTACAATCGTAATTCTATTAATTAATTTTGTGCCAACATTTTTCACCAACTATACACATTGAATTGTATTATATTTATATTAAGCTAACAATTATATCAATAAAAGTTAAATGGCAATTACAGTATACGGCTATCATTAGATGTGTGGCTCCGGAGTAATGAGGTATGTTATCAGCCAATAGACAGCACATGTGTGTAACAAATGCGAGGCATTATTAAAATCACATGAAAGACAACGAGATATTTGTGACCATTGAAGTCGAGGGCAGAACACTGTCTGAAATGCAATACGTGTTTCAGTACAGAGTGTTTGGGCGCAAACCTATATAACGGTTTGGATATGCAGAGTTGTGCTGCGATATGAAAGCAATCCATGAAGATATATGCATTTAAAACATAATATTATATAAAGTTTATGTCATAGATAACAGTAAACACAGCATCAAACTGTTTTTATTTTTATCGAGATTTTTTGCGTTAATAAGAAAAATCTGGCGAACAATACAAACATCTGTTGAATAAATAAAATATTATTATAATTATAAATACAAAACCAATAAATAAGTAAACAATTTATGAAACCATAATAAACATAACCTTAAATGCAATCATTGGTGTCATCACAAACTGATTGCTACAGGAGAACCCGGTTTTAACAGTCTGTCCGAACAATCTTTCCATTGTATTAATAATCTAGAAATACAAAAGAAGACAAAAAGGATCATGGCAATTTAACAAATCTAACAACACTCTTTAAATAAAATAATTACTTTAAACTTATCATGGGTAGTTGATTTTAACCTGAACAATTTTTTATTGACTCTTAACAATGGGTGATAAGTATTGATCACATCCCGAGTGATTGAACCGGTGATAGAATTGATGGCGAACTGACACATACAGGAGCCGCACAAATACGATAGAGTGATCACATGTGCCGTCACAAGCATTCTCTCAAACAGCAACTGATGGATTAGCAACAAATGGATTGGTATTAATGAATACGTGAATAGAAACAGATATTTAGACCAAAATCGGTTATAAACGGCGATATCATTGCACAGAGCGTTGTGTTGTTTCAGTAATTTCCGTAAATTCCGACTTTTCATACGAATATTTCCCGCAATTATAGACGTAATTTGTGTCGAAAATATTTTTAACCGTAATTTATAGTATGAACATATAATTAAAAAGTAGAGCACACCATAGAAATTGACTAAAAGGGCACAGATATAATATATGGCAAATTTAATAATGGCTATTATTGCGTACGTTTTATTATAATCAATATTAATCATAAATATTGAAATAATGAGTGATAGAGTGACCGTGGTCAGTGTGAACAAATTTGATTTGACTACAATATCGATATATCTATATAAATGCCCACATTTATTGATATATCGGCAATAGTCCTGCCGGTGCTCATTATCCACACCAATTGTTTTAGCAGATTTGGTGCCTTTAATCGCTTTAATCACATCAAACCACTTATAATCGGGACTAAAATTTAGTAATATAATAACATTAATCGATACAATTCCCTCTATTGTTCCTATAAAACACCAATTGTTTTAGCAGATTTGGTGCCTTTAATCGCTTTAATCACATCAAACCACTTATAATCGGGACTAAAATTTACATTATATTATTGTAATTAGCTATGTTAAGGGAGATAACAAGGATATTAAACGGTTTTTATGACATTTGGTGGCTTTATAACTCAGTAAAGCGTTATTATAAGACCTTCAAACGGCAGTAAAGGTTAGAAAAGCAAACCTATTGAATAGTGGGCTAAAAATATTATTTCCAAAAGCATTAAGATTACAAATTTTAATTTTTGTCTCATTTTCATTGGATTTGTGACAAAATAATTGTTACAATCGTATCGATATATTAGACCAAACCTATACAACGGCCGATCGATATCTGGTATAATTATTGACTGAATATTTCCCATATTATTAATGTTAGACATAGTTTAGGCACAAAATTAACTATAATTTATTATAAATAAATGTAGGTTTTTATAAGAAATATAAAAATATTCTTTATACGAAAGTAACCGACAATTAATACTAATATACTATATTCATCAACTTCCACAGGTTGCACTCATGTTGCATTCGCGCCTTTTTATGTGCGAGGGTGTACTGTATAATTATTATCAACCAATTACTAATAGCAAAAATAATGAAACTTCAGCTATTAACCAAAGTTAAACTATGAATTATCATAATTAAACATTACAATACGTCCTATTGACTAAAAATATGTAACCTGGATGTCCCTGACTATATTATACTATAATATACTAATTTTACATTATTTAATTCATTAAATTTTCACTTATATTAATTTACTTACCAAGGTAATAAAAACACATTAATTAAGTTATTGTAATAAAGTCCATAAAATACAGGTATCATAAGTACTAAAATATTGTTAAATTATTTTAGTTATTGCACTTATACACACATTAATATACAATGTGTGTATAACTGCAATGAATTATGATAAATTATCATTATGATAAATAG